TACATTATATTAACCAAGTGATCAACGTTAACATGACCAACAGCAGGACAAATTCACATCATATGCCTCCTGATATGATACACTGAGAAGGACACGTCACCATTCATGTGATATTCTGCCAAAAACTCAAAACCTGAATCTAATCAATGAGGAAACATCGCCCAAATTGAGGGACATTTTTCAAAATAGCAGTTGTGCATTCATACTCTTCAAAAATGGCAAAGTCAGGAAAGACAAAGAAAAGCTAAGGAATTGTTCCAGATTAAAGAAGACCAAAGAGACCTGACCACTAAATGGATCAAGAAAAAATAACTATAAGAGACATTATCAAGATAGTGACAAACTTTGAACATCTAATGTGGATTACATAATAGTATTGTATCAATATTAAATTTCCAGATTTTGATAATTGAATTATGGTCATGTAAGAGAATGTCCTTGTTCTTAGGAAATACACACTGAAGTATTTAGGGATAAAGAAGTATGTTGGCTTCAAATACTCTGAAATAGTTCAGGGAAAACAGTAATATGCATATATGTTCATGTGTGTGCATGTGTGTGTGTGTGTGGTAGGTATATATGTGCATATAGATTCATGTGTGTGTATTTATAGTTACGTGAATATTTTATACTTACAAAAAGAGAGAGAATATGATAAAGCAAAAGGGGCAAAATTAGGAGCTGGTAAATCTGGTGAAAGGATTCCTTGTACTTCTCTTGCAACCTTTCTTAAATTTGAAGTTATAGCAAAATAAAAGTTACCAAAAATAATGATGAAGGGGAATACTTTCATGATCTTCAGATAGAGAAATATTTCTTAACGAGGCCACAAAAAGCTCTAATCATAAAAAAGAAAGACCTTAGGTCAAAAGAATGTCCACTGGGTCAATAGAAAAATGAACAGGAAACTTGAGTAGGCACTTCACAAAAAATATCTAAATGGCCAATTACCACATGAAAAGGTACTCAGAATAAGCCATCAGAATTACAAAATTTAAATAATAAATAAATACTTTACTGTGTGTTGGTGAGGATTTGGGGCAACTCCTTTCATATACTGCCAACAGGAGACTAAACTGGTATGACTACCCAATATATAACCTGGCCTCAGTCTACCTCTCCAGCCTCATCGTCTAATACTGTTGTCCCATTTACCATGCTCCAACAGCACTGACTTTCATTCAGTTTCCCCTAGGCACCAAGCTCCTTCCTAATTAATTCAGGGAACTTATACAAAATTCTTTCTTCTATACGGAATGTTCTACTCCTCTAAAATGCACATTTATTGGCTTCCTCCCTAGCATTCATTTTCCACATCTTCCTTTCTTAATAGCCCAGTTTCTTTTAGGGTTCCATGTGGTTTTAGATAAGAACATTTCATCCCTAACTCCAGGATGCAGCACATGACTTTGCTTAAGCCAATCAGCATGTTCCACTCTCCTAGTCATAACGGATCCAGGGGTAAGCATGTGATCTAAGGTAATCAAAACTCAGTGAATCTCAGATCTTTTCCTAGAATGATAGAAAAAAAACCTCTTTCCCTCAGGCCGTATGTTAGACAATATATGCGGGTACTTCAAAAAGTTCACGGAAAGACTCATATTCTCTTTCAATTCTATTTTTCCATGAACTTTACAGCTCTGGAAACTACTGCTAACCAACTAGGGAACATAGAGTAAGCCTTAAAATAATGGCAACAGAACAGAAAACAGAGTAAATCAAAGAAAAGCAATCAAAAACTTGGTGCCATCGTTGAGCCACTGGATCAACTCTTGTCTGAAGCCAACTCTACCGGCTACTAAAAGCATCCTAAGATAATGTTCCTCTTAGCCCAGCCAAGGCCTAATGATCTTTCAAGTCCTAACTTCAATGCCACTTTCTCAGGATAAGGTTTCCTCAACCACGAAAATACACCAGGACCCCTTTTATATACTCAAACCAACTTGCACTCCTTTGTAACTAGTATATATCACGATTATATTTTAAACCATATAATTAATGTGTTTACTCTGTCTGAAGGACTGGGTTTTGTTCACCTTTATTCCCATTGTCCAGCACAGTGCCTGTCACATAAATAAATACATTTTGAATAAAACTCTGAATCATACTTCCCTGGTCTCTATAAAACAGTGGCTATAAAGCAACTAACTCTTTTTTGATAACTTCAGGTCACCACTATGAACACCAACTATCATACGATATTATAATATCACTATGCCCTCAGAAGCTATGGAAATACAAAGAATAGTTATCCTAAAATAAATGGGCCTAGACCAAAGTGTTTTTAAAGACTTTTTGAGTTCTTTACTTCCTAGTGATTAAGCAGAATACAAAAGCTCAATTCTTAATTTTTTTCTCTTCTTCCCTATCAAGCTATTAGCTGTCAATTCTTATTTGCTAGAAATCATAGGAAATGTACCATTATGGCTCTGAATAAAGAACTTAAAAATTCTACAAGTACAGTAAATATACTTTCAGTGTGTGGACTATCTGTTGTCAATGATCATAGACATTTTTCTTTTACTTTCAGGTTTTGGGCCACATTCCTTAGAGTCACAACTGGCAGATAAGCAATGCTTTACTACACCTTGCCTACTAGAGCTATTTAAAGATCAAAAAGCAATATGCAGCTATAAAAAGGAATGAAGATCTCTAATGCTCTAGGATACATTGCTAAGTGGAAAAAAAAAAAACCCAAGGTATTAAAATATGCTATCTTTGGGTTCGAGAAAAAAATATGTTTCTTTTTGAAAATATAAACAATAAAGGATAAATCAAACACTAATAATATTTTATATTCTTATAATATTTTAAAATATTTTAATTGTATTTCCATAAACACTAATAAAAATGATTTCCCACAACACCCATTGGAGGATTACTACCAAAAAAACAGAAAATAACAAAAGTTGGCAAGGATGTGGAGAAACTGGAACCTGTGTACTGTTGGCGGGAATGTAAAATGGTACAGCATCTATGTTAAACACTATGGCAATTCCTCAAAAAATTGAAAACAGATTTACCGTATGACCCAGCAATTCCACTTCTCAATATATACCCAGAAGATTGAAAACATTAAAGAAATATTCACATACACATGTACATATCAGCATTATTGAATGGATAAAAAAAATTTGCTAGGGCTGGCCCGGTGGCGCACTGCTACAGTGCGCCGCTTGGGAAGCGCGGCAGCGCTCCCGCCGAGGGTTCGGATCCCACATACAGACCGGCCGCTCACTGGCTGAGCGAGTTGCGGGAGCAACACCGAGGGTTGCGATCCCGTTGCCGGTCCCGGTCCGGTACGGGCACGACACTGAGGGTTGCGATCCGTTGCCGGTCACGAAAAAAGACAAAAAGGAAAAAAAAAAAATTTGCTACATATACCCAAAATAATATTATTCACCCTTAAAAGGAAAGGAAATTCTGACATATGCTATAACATGGATGAACCTTGAAGACATTATGTTAAGTGAAATAAGCCAGTCACAAAGACAAATTCTGTATGATTTCACTTATGTGAGATATGTAGTCAAAATCATAGGGATAGAAAGCAGAATGCTGCAGGGATTGAGGGTAAGGGGAAATGGGGAGTTATTGTTTAATGGATATACAGCTTCAAAAGCCCTGGAAATGGACAGTAGTGAAGGCTTCATAACAATATGAATATACTTAATACCACTGAACTATACACTTAAAATGGTTATGATGGTAAATATCATGTTATGCATGTTACGCATATCATGTTAGCACAATAAAAATAATTGAAAAAAAATTATTATCCACAAGGGAAGAAGAGAAGAAAAACTTATCTAAATGAATACTGTTTTATAGGTTGGGTTTTGAACCATGTTAATGTTGTATATAATATTAAAATGAAATTAAATAAAAAAGAAAAATCCCAAAAAACCAAAAAGAGCTGAGAACAGGGGAATAATTTTTTTCAAGATACTGACAGAAAAATCTGTCAACCTAGACTTCTATGCACAGCAAGACCATCCTTCAAAATTAGGGCAGGGAAAAAAAATACAACTTCAGACAAACAAAAACAGAGTCTACAATCAAAAAGCCCTCAAATATGAAAAATTAAAACCTCAGAACTAAGGGAGAGTATGGAGTGTGGAGGGATGACATAACAAAGGAGCACACAGGTAGATGCGCTCCTGCCCTTATATCCAGAAGGGGCTCTGCCCTGAACCCCACACTTTAGAAGGTTCTACATATAAAAAATATCAAAACCCAAAGATATTCAGTAACTGAGTGAACAGGAATTAACAGAGAGGGACTCACAAACTGAATTGGGTCCCCCAGGCCAAACAGTGAAGGGAGGAAAAGAAAGGGGACAAAACACAGCCTCTGTGAGAGTAAGAATATCTGCTATTGTTTAAGGTTGGCCATCCAAATCTCCCAAAGGAGGTTTCTAGGCAGACTGGGCTCCCCATATAACTGCATTCCATCCTCCTCCTCTGTTTCAGTAGTTTAAGCAGATACTTAGAACTGCCTGAAAATCTTGAGTTAGAAAAGTAAAGTGTGGGGAATGAGAACCTGTTTGCCTTGGCTCTCTGGAGAGTTTCACCATATCAGTCCCTAGATTCAGGAACTATCCTGGCCCAACTTCTGCCCTGCCTGGCCCAGGGAGAGCATGGCTCCTTTGAGAAATGGCTGGGCCCTTGGCAGGAAAGCAGCTCAGACTGTTAATATGGATTTATTTGTAACTTTTTAATATTAAGACATAAAAAAAAAAAAGCTGGCTTCCATTTGTATTCTTGCTCTATGTCCAACAAGTATTAGGAGCAATCCTGGGAAGTAGCAATGGCGATGGGCTCTCAGGTTGTACAGTACATTCACAGCTATTGACTTTATTACTTTGCTTTACAATAATGTGCTCCATAGAGTATCTTGCATGAAACAAATATTACATTTAAACAGATGATACATGAAAAATAGAAAGAAGGAGAGAGGCCAAAACAGAGGCTAGTCTTGAAGGAGGCTTGATCACTTACCATCATTCTTTCTCTTTTATGCCAGGATTATTTACTGTATAATCCCATGGGGTGTGACTCCTACAATAAAAAAAATATATTCTCTTAGTCATAACATTATCAGAAAATCATATTTATTCATAACAGTTACAAATCTCATACCCACAAGTTCCTCATTAAACAACAAAAAAAGCATTCCTTCAGATTGCCTGTTCAGATATGATATAGCATTCTTTAAACACTCCAAGCTGACAATGCTCTGCAAAAAATAAAAATAAAATGGAAAAGAAACACTGTTAATTACATAAAAAGTCCAGGATATCCTAACCCAGAGGCATCAAACTTTTTTTTACTAAAACCCACAAACACACACACATTTTATATCTTGACCCACTTCACACATACATGTTTAACTGAAACAAAAGTTTCATGAATATCTATTCCTACTGAAAGAGATGTACTCATTATTAATTTTTCTCTCTATTCTATTTCATTTTTTATATGCTGTTTTCACTGAACTGACTCACTAAGGAGCCCCAACTCAGTATGGAAAAAACTGTGTAACCTCTCCTTAAGAATTTTCATAAACTGAAATGTTATCAGAATATCCTAATTACCAATTACATCGGCTTTACATAGAAGAGACCCTACCTTTCAGGCAACCTATTTAATGTGGCCAAACTTTTACTCAAAGAAATGCAAAGCAGAAAAACTATATAGAACACAAAGGGACAGAGAAATTGCTAGGAAAAAATGACCTAACCCTGTAAAAAGAGCTATTGAAAAAGAAAAGAAACCAGAAACTAAAACCAAACCTTCTTCTGGGACAAGAATCTAGGTCATTTACTCTTTGTCAAGTGAATTTGTTCCTTTAAAATGCAGCACCTCAAATACAAACATATATCCACACAAAAACTTATATACAAATGTTCAGAGCAGCATTATTCATAATAGCCAAAAAGTAGAAATAACTCAATGTCCATTAACTGATGAATGGATAAATAAAATGTGGTATATCTATACAATGGAATATTATTCAGCCATAAAAGGGAATAAAGTGCTGATACATGCTACGATATAGATGAACTTTGAAAACATTATGCTATGGGAAAGAAGCCAAGTTACAAAAGACCACACACTGTATGATTCCATTTATGTGAAATGTCCAGAACAGTCAAATCCAGAGTAAAAAGTACATTAGTGGTTGCCCAAGGCTGGGAGGTTAGGGGGTAATGGGAATGACTGCTAATGAGTATGGAGGTTTTTTTTTTTTTTTTTGGGGGGGGGGTAAAAATGTTCTAAAATTCATTATGGTGATTATTGTACAACTGTGGATATACTAAAAACCATTTTTAAATGGGTGGATTGTACAGTCCAAAGTTATATCTCAGTAACGCTGTTATATCTTTTAAAATGCAGTGCCTCTGTTCACAAACCCCTGATGCCTCTCTATCTCACTCAGAGTAAGAGCCAAAGTCCTCACAGTAGCCTACCACACACTAAATTTTCTAGCTTTCTATCCCTCTACTCATTCCACTCCAGTCACACTGGCCTCTTTATGTTCCCCAACATGCCAGACACACTCTAGCCTCAGGGCTTTATACTTCTTAAACCTCCATCTGGAACACTCACAATTAACTCCATCTTTGTTCAAATGTCACTTTCTTATTGAGGACTTCCCAAGCAACCTATCTAAAATGCAACCCTCCCAGACAAACAAAAGCTGTGGAAGTTCATCACCGCAAGACTTACCTTATAAGAAATGCTAATGAGTGTTCTTCAAGTTGAAATGAAAGAACACTAACAACATGTAAACATATGAAAATAAAACTCACTAAAGGTAAAGGTAAGAATATAGCCAAATTCAGTGTACTCTAATACTGTAATGGTGGTGCAAAAAATCACTTTTAACTCTGTATAAAAGTCAAAAGATAATAGTATTAAAAGTAACTATAACTTTAAAAAGTGGGGTGAGAAGTTACAATGTAGAGTTTTCACATGTGGTCAAAGTTAAGTTGTGATCATCCTAAAACAGCCTGTTACTATAAGATATTTTATGTAAGCCTTAAGAAAACCACACACACACACACACAAAAGATAAGGAGAAAGAAATCAAAGCACACCAGTACACCACTACAAAAAAAAAAAAAAATCATCATATCACAAAGGAAGGCAGCAAGAAAGGAAGAATAGAACAAAGGAATTACAAAACAGAAAACAATTAAAATGGTAGTAGTAAATCCTTACCTATCAATAACTCCTTTGAATGTAAATGGATTAAATTTTTCAACCAGAAGACACAAAATGACCAAATGGATAAAAAAAAACAAGATCTAGCTATATGCTGCTACAAGAGACTCACTTTAGCTTTAAAGACACACATAGCTGAAAGTGAAGGGATGGAAAAAGATGTTCCACACAAATGGTAACCAAAAGAGAGCAGGCATGGCTATAATTTTACCAGAAAAAAATAGACTTTAAGTCAAAAACTGTCCCAACAAAGAAGGTCATTACATAATAATAAAGAAATCAATTAGGGCTGGCCCCGTGGCGCACTCGGAAGAGTGCGGCACTGGGAGTGCAGCGACGCTCCCACCACAGATTTGGATCCTATATAGGACTGGCCGGTGCGCTCACTGGCTGAGCACGGTGCGGGCGACACCACACCAAGGGTTGCGATCCCTTACCGGTCACAAAAAAGACAAAAAAAAGAAAGCGACACCACACCAAGGGTTGCGATCCCCTTACCGGTCACGAAAAAGACAAAAAAAAGAAAAAAAGAAAAGAAAAGAAATCAATTAATCAAGAGGATATAACAAATGTAAATATATAAGCACCCAACATCAGAGTACCTAAATATATAGAGTAAACTTTAACAGAACTAAAGGGAAAAATAGATGGCAATACAATATTAGTAGCGGAGTTCAATACCCCCACTTTCAACAAGGGATAGATCATCCAGACAGAAAATCAACAGGGAAATAGTGGACACAAATAATAATATAGATAAAATGGTCCTAACAGACATATGCAGAACATTCCATCCAAAAGCAGCAGAATACACATTATTTTCCAGCACACATAGAACATTCTCTAGAATAGATCATATGTTAGGCCACAAAACAAGTCTTAATAAATTCAAGAAGATTTAAATGACATCAAGTATCTTTTCTGAACACAAAGGTATGAAACTAGTGTGAAAGTTGGTAGTATCAAAATGGAGTCACTTGTGTCAAACCCTAACAAAAATAAATAAAGCCAGAAGGTTATAAAAAAGAGCCCTCATGCACACATGCCTATGATAAGAAATATTACAAAGACTCTTCGAAAGGCTCTTACCTACATACATCTGTAACAAAACTTTTGTCAAGGACTTTCCAAACTGCAGCTTACTACATGAGACACAAGGACAGCTAGCCAGGTACACAGGAACATTTGCATGACACACTGTCTCCACTAATGAACTGATGTCATCTCCTGCAATAAGCACTTGTAACCAGCTCTTTGTCTCAAAACAAATTATATGTTGTATTAGTCTATTTGTGTTGCTATAACATAAATACCTGAGACTGGGCAATATATAAAGAAAAGAGGTTTATTTGGTTCATGATTCTGGATAGCAACATCTGATGTGGGCCTCAGGCTGCTTCTACTCATGGTGGAAAACAGCCGGCAGGCAGTGGTACAAGCAGATTATAAATACCTGAGACTGGGCAATATATAAAGAAAAGAGGTTTATTTGGTTCATGATTCTGGACAGCAACATCTGATGTGGGCCTCAGGCTGCTTCTACTCATGGTGGAAAACAGCCGGCAGGCAGTGGTACAAGCAGATCACATAGCGAGAGGAAGCAAGAGAGAGGAGGTGCCAGGGTCTTTTAAGCTACCAGCTCTCATGGGAACTAACTGAGCAAGAACTCACTCACTACCCCTCTTCCCCCAGGGAGAGCATTAATCCATTCATGAGGGATCCACTCCCATGACTCAAACAGCTTCCAGCACTGCCACATTGGGGATCAGATTTCCACAAGCGTTTTGGCGGGGACAACACATCCAAACTCCAACATATGTACTTCTCTCTCTTTTCTTTAAAACCTTCCCCTTGCCTCAACCACTCTGGATATGCCTATGGTACCCATAGTCCACATATCCCTTGTGCACTCCCAAATAAACACATTATCATTGAAGAATCTCTCATTGTTTGTTATTTAGGTTGATATTATAAATCAGTAAGAGGAAGAAAATGGAAAAATTTCCAAAACTTAAATAACACACTCCTGAACAATCAATGGGTCAAAGAAGAAATCAAAAGGGAAATCAAGAAATATCTTGAGACAAATGAAAACGGAAATATAACATATCAAAACTTACAGGATGCAGCAAAAGCAGTTCTAAGAGGGAAGTTTAGAGTCATCAACACCTACATTAAGTAGACTAAGGAAAAAAAGAGAGAAGGTTCAAATAAATGAAATTATAAATGAAAGAGGAGACATGACAACTGATACCAGAGAAATACAAAGAATCATAAAAGTCTACCAGCAACAACTATACATCAACAAATTCAATAACTTAGGATAAATTCCTAGAAACATAAACCTATCAAGGTTGAATCATGAATAGAAAATCTGACCAGATAACTAACAAGGAGACTGAATCAGTAATCAAAAAACTCTCAACAAAGAAAAGCCCAGGACATGATGGCTTCACTAGTGAATGCTACCAAACACTTAAAGGAGAATTAATGCCAATCCTTCTCAAACTCTTCCCAAAAATTGAACAGGAGGAAACACTTCCAAACTCATTTTGTAAGGTCTGATACTGAAGATAGACATGGCCACTGTAAGAAAAGAAAATTACAGGTCATTATTTCTGATGAACATAGATGTAAAAATCCTCAATAAAATACTAGCAAAGCAAATTCAACAGCATATTAAAAGGATCACACACCATGATCAAATAGGATTTATCACTGGGATACAAGAATGGTTCAACATATGCAAATTAATAAATGTGATACACCACATTAACATAATGAAGAATAAAAATCATATCATCATCTCATAAATGCAGAAAAAGCATCTGAC